ATCAAGCAAGAAAGCAAGAAAGCAAGCAACCAAGCAACCAAGCAAGCAACCAAGCAAGCAAGCAAGCAAGCAAGCAAGCAAGCAAGCAAGCAAGCAAGCAAGCAAGCAAGCAAGCAAGCAAGCAACCAAGCAACCAAGCAACCAAGCAAGCAACCAAGCAACCAAGCAACCAAGCAACCAAGCAACCAAGCAACCAAGCAAGCAAGCAAGCAAGCAAGCAAGCAAGCAAGCAAGCAAGCAAGCAAGCAAGCAAACACACTTGTTGCCTTTGCCGCTTTGTGCAGATGTCTGCTGTGAACGCGCCCCAGCATTGCTTGGACCCGTCACTCATCCTGAAACAAAGACACTGTGCGAAGTTGAAGCCGCTCAGGGCTATACGAAGCTACAAGTGAAACAACTGTTCAATTGTCAGGGTTGACATGCAAGTCAAGCTGGCAGGGCGTTGCATGAAGATCTCTTGCAGTGTGAACTTGGCATCTATGCTTTAACGCGATGCGAAACTCCTTTGGTGGGGAGGCTGTGCCCGATGATGTAAAGGGAGCGTGCATTCAAGACCACATCACCCGGCAGCAGTGCTACGCCTCGCCTGCGGAGCCAAGTCAGACTTGGAAAGTTCTCAAATCCTCCGCGAAATCATATGCTTCAAGAGGCACATCACAAGCACAGTGTGCTCGCATACCGAAACAAGGCCGTCGATACTTTACAGTCTGCCTGAACTTATGAATGTGGATGGGCGGTCGAATCCTTGCAGTATGGATAAGGTTCAAACAGTTCGGCTAAGGAAGTGTTTGCATGCTCATGGTGCTCAGCCCACATTAGCTGCTGAGCCCATTCACAAAGAGTCTTGCCAAACTCTTTTGTGCAAGGAAAGGAATGGATGATCGAACCTTCCATCACTGCGAGATGGCAAAAGCATGACCCACGCACATCAAGCACTGAAATTTCAACCTGGGACTGTCTCTGCACGGATTTGAGCTGGAGCACCGCGCTCTTAGCGAGGTACGAATGAAATCGTGCAACCATTGTGATGACCTGCAGTTGCTTGCTGTGCACGGATGCGCGCCTTCTTTGCCACTGCATCTGCCAGCGCGCTGTACTGGCAACAACGCCAAAGTAACCTGGCCGAAAGGCTTGCTCGCACACAGATCATCACGCTCCATGTGCGGTTGCTGATGCTCATGCGAAGGTTAGCAGTTTCAACCGCATAGTTACAATCATTGTGCACAGTGCAGCGGACGGACTGTTGGGCCCCAAGAACCAAGCTCGCAACCTCGGCTCGAGGACTGCTTTGCTCCATCCCCAGCTGCAACCGCAAACAAACGATATTTTGGGAACAAATACGAGCCATCAACAAAACCGTCGACATGTTCCCTGCGGATGCGTCGCCACAACATTTTCCGCACAGTGCACGGGATGCAACACAGACCACGATTCAACAGCCACTGGAGTGAGTGCGAATTTCCAAACTGTTTCAGACAAACTTCCAAGAAATCGGAAAACATCATGGTATGCGACACGCAAATGCTTATATGCTGGACCATGACAACGCGATGATGGCGGGAATCCTCAGCATCAGAGTTTGACATTACTAGTACAGTGTGAGAGGGAGGCCTTCATCGCAGCGGTATCGACTGCAGATATGTACGCAAACACACGCAAACACGAAAACACACAAACACACACACACACACCCACACTGGGATGTGCCGACTTCTGCGATGAATCAACTCGTAGACTTTGGGATCATTCTCATCATACGCCTTCCCCGTAATTCTCTTCGCGGCATTGCCGAACAGCAGCTGCTCAGCAACACGTAATGTGGGAGATGGGGTAGGGGCCTGTTGGTAGTACACAGGTGCTTAACAACTATCACATCACCTGCCGGATATGTGCCATTGAAAGCCAGTGCGAAGGGCCTTGCGATCATGGGAACTCGTGGCTGGGGCGTGTGACCCCGAGATCTCGCAGAACTGTTGCTTACCAGCCCTCTGCCATTCAGATCTCTAGATTGAAAGACAGAGTCAGTCATGCCAAGGCTTACAACCCCAAAAAAGACCTATAGTGGAAACCTCCGGCAGAGACAATGCGATTTATTTATCCCCTCACGTTGCAGCCCTGACTTCGATACATGTAAGTGTAAGCACAAAGACAACACCGAAAGACAGACACAGCCAAACTGTTGAGCTCATCCCTGCGTTGAGAGCCTGCCAATCCACCGACAGATCGGAAACCTCTCACGATTGCACAAAGGCGGGTGAAGTTGCAAGGGACAGACGTGGGTCATCGCTGATGTGCGTCCATGATGGGACATGACGGGCCCCACCCAAAGCCTGAAGTGAATCGCTCAGCATGCGAGGCCATGGCGTCGTGGATGTTTGGGACCTTCCTGGCCAACATGAAACTTGCATACGAGGCTCCTGCATTCAATGTCGATGTATGTGAGTCAGCTGGTCCTGCTTTCTGGAGCAGTCAACATCAAGGTCTAGGCAGGCACAAGGTGCGGAGGTCGTCACCTGAACTTCAATTCCCTGTTTTGGCAGAGCCGCGTGGATACCGTTTTCGAAGGTGGCGCCGCCATGGCTATTGGGAAGTTGTGTTTGCTGCAGCTACATTTGTCGTTCCGCGCTTGCCAGGTCCCAAACTAAAGCAAGTTTGGGTGGACATTGAGCACAAGTGCTGGGAGACGTTGTTACTCAGCAATTGCATCCGGAAATGCTGCAGCTTCAGTCGGCTAGTGGCGACATGAATCAAGCATAGTCGGGGGACATGCGCAGACACACAAAGACGCACATACATGATCATACATGCATACGCTTCTCTCTCTCCCTCTTTCCGTTTCAACCTCCAAGGGCAATCTCATGCAAGTGTTTCGTATTCTGCAAAGGGGGGGTAAAGGGGACATACAAAGCTCTGTTCAAGGAAGCTCTCTGTCAGATCTCCGGACATCCAGTGCGGCCAGCTGGACGTGTTCGCAATTTAGAACCGATACAAAATTGGAGAAAAACATCTTTTTCATGCCGGCTGACCTCTTGGTACGTTTTGCCTAAATCCAGACCTCTGCTGAGCAGCGAACGACGCAAGTAGTCAGACGGAGGACTCCACGCGGTCGGTTCTGTGTGTGTGTGTATATATATATATATTTGCGTGCCTGTCTTTCTGTCTGCTCGCTTGCCCGGGCCGGCCCGCCCGCCGGGCTGTCGGACTCTCTGTCTCTCTCTTGTCAGCAAGATACGGGCACGAATAGACGTCCAAGTTCTCACAATCGATTCTTCTAACGTATGCGGTAGGACAGAGCTGTTTGTGAGCTTTTCGACCCAGGTACTTGGAAGAGGCCAACGATGACTTCAAAGGAGCAGGGAGCGCCTACTACATCACCCTGCTGTTTGCTTGGGATCATCCCTCCTACAAGGTCCATCCGTACTTGAAGCTGAAGAAGGAGGCCTTGCCCAGGTTGTGCAACAGCTGCTGGCAGCTGACATCTGCTCGAATTTGCTGGTGCGGTCGCAGGTCAGCCACTGCAAGGCTGTGATCAAAGAGGACACGCGACGAGAAGCACGAAGCTCATTTGGACGTGTGCAAGTGAAGAGCCCGCAGACCTGCAGCCTTGCTTTCCGAGTGCCAAGGTTTTGCAGGATTGCACCCAGCGGATCGTAGATCTGGCGAAAGAGTGCAGTGCCAGCAGGCGAGTGCCTCAGCATGCCTCAGCTACACGGCTTGTGCTTCTTTTGTTCATTCCGGGCGACGACCTGCCGGTATCGATATCAATACACACAAGTGGGTTGCATGGCAGGGTGGCTCACGAAGTGTCGCTTCATCGCTTTGGAAGCACGAAGCTTCGAGTGCACCGAAGTTTCCTCAGGAATTGTTTTTTTGGAGCCAACGTGCACAAGCGCTCAAAATGCTCGTGATCCTCCTTTGAAAGACGGAGCATGAACTCCAGGCAATTCGCATCTCCAGAGCTTCTTTCGTTCTGTTCTGCGCACTAACCACGCGTTCACCTGCATTCATGGTGCGAAGCCAGCATGCACCGGCATCTGCTCTGAAAGAGAAGGATTTCGACCTGTCTGAAGGGGCAGTTTTCAAGGCAGCAAGGACTCTGCAGGTGTGCTGCCGGCATTTGTGGCTCTGAGACCTCGGCACTGCAGTTGTTGGTGCTGTCGCTGTCGAAAACAAGCGCACCTCGGCCATCGACGAAATCCCCGAAAGAATTGCCAGGAGCGGCAATGGCCTAACAAAAGGCCGCAGCCTCAGGACGCAAAGACCTTGCAGCATTTCAGCAGGTAAATCCGTTGGCCCCAAACCATCAAAGGCTTTGCAGGAGAGAGGAAGACCGAGGAAGAGAGTTCTCGTACTGCTGACCGGATCCCAGAGGAAGGAAGGAAGGGAGCGAGGGAGGGAGGGAAATCATTCAACACGCCCCATAAAACTCCCCCTACAGAGCCGGCGCTGGGAGATTGACCCGCTCTATGCCCCGGAGACAAGACAAGACAAGAGAGCGAGAGAGAACGCATGTGTGCGGGGCCTCACCCCAATCCCCAAACGCCCGGCAAGCAAGCAAGAGAGAGCGAGAGAGAGAGAGAGAGCGAGAGAGATGACGAAGAAGGGAGAGAGAGAGATAGAGAGAGACAAGAGAGAGCGCTTGGCCGCGTCCCAAAGCCGTTTTACCACTCCAACATGGGGTGCGCACTTGCGCAAAGGGGGGAGGGAGACCTCCCCCCTCGGCCTTCAGACAGAAAGAGAGAAAGAGAGAGAGCTCTTGGCTTTGTCCCAAAGCAAAGCAAAGAGAGAGAGAGAGAGAGAGACAGAGGTGGAGGGAGAAACCCCTTGGCCCTGCACCCTAGCCCTGCCCCAAAAAAGAGACAGGGATAGTTAGCTAGTCACTTGCACCACCACCACCACCACCACCACGATTACGTGCTACCGCTACTACTACTACTACTACTACTACTACTACTACTACTACTACTGCAGCTGCTACTACTGCTGCTGCTGCTGCTGCTGCTGCTACTGCTACTGCTACTGCTTCTGTTGCTACTACTACTACTACTACTACTACTACTACTCCTACTACTACTACTACTACTACTACTACTACTCCTACTACTACTACCACTAATACTACTGCTACTGCTACTACTACTGCTACTACTACTACTACCACTACTACTACTGTTACTGCTACTGCTACTGCTACTGCTACTGCTACTGCTACTGCTACTGCTACTGCGACTACTACTACTGCTACTGCGACTACTAGTACTAGTACTAGTACTAGTACTAGTACTAGTACTAGTACTAGTACTAGTACTAGTACTAGTAGTAGCACTAGTACTAGTACTAGT